AACAAAAAAGAGAGGAGGAATTTACAAAAGGAAATGAAAGGGAGGACCCAAAAAAAAAAATAGTATGGTTTACAATAACGAGAAAAAGAAGAAAAACAAAAGAAGCACTACACGCGAATTGTGCCGCCAGGACGTCACGCCTGAATCCAGTCTGAACCCAGCCGGAAAAAAAAAAAAGAAAAAAGACGGAAGTAGTTTGGGGGAAGGGCGACCAAGCAGCAATACTGTACTTACAAGCCTCGTCACCGCGTAAACGCTTCAACCGGATGTTTAATACCCGCGATTTTTAATCAATCATCCAACTCAGAGCCATGTATTATTTATTTTTTTCTTCTCCAAGATCTATGCATATACAGCACTTCAGGAGGACTTCTGTAACGTATGACGGGGGGATCGTACTGAACCCATCCAATCGAAATTCTTCATTGTTTTTGAAGATTTAAAAAGTTTCCAAAGGCTTCTCTCCTTCCTGAAATTCTTGAGCTTTGAGAGAATAATTGTCATCTTATGCATATATACGGCAAAAGAGAGATGTAAAAAATGCAGATCGCAATAATTAGTCAATTTTTTTTCTGCGCATGTGGATTTATGCGCAAACACATTGAGTTTTCGTTGAAAATAATATCTTCATCACTCCAAAAATTCCACAGCTAATTTTTTTGTTTTAAATCGCTGAATGCACCCAATAATATTCATCATGGAAAAATTCCTTTCAATGGAATTTTAAAAAGTCATGGCGCAAACACCACATATTTCATGCTAGAAATATCCGATAATAACGCATCTTAACTGCAACAGATTTACAAAAAAGAAAAGAAGGCTGTTTAGGATGAAGTCTAATATCTCAACCGAAACCTGGACCAAATATCTTTATAGAAGCTTGAAATTTTCAGCTATAATTGCAACAGAAGAGTCTCCCAAATTTGTGAAGGGTCCGCGGAAACTGGCCGTTTTTTTCGGAAACAGCACTGGGATCGGCACGAAATATTTTGTATCATAAAGTATTGACAAAAATCTTATTCAACGCTGCAAAATTAATTCCAATGAATGTTCAACCTGCATTGCAAAATTCAAAATCCCTCGCCGAGTCGTGAACGGAAAGAAAAGTTGACCCAAATAGAAATAAAAAAAAAACCCAGTGTAATCTTCAAAACGCGTCAGAAGCCATATTCCCGAATTTGAATACAAATGGAAAGGAAAATTACGAAATTGAAAAAATAAATATAAAGTTCATGCTTAATATAAGCGCGAGGCGCTAAAAGTAACCGCAAACCCGGACCTCGCTTCTTTGGCATGCAAAATCCCACAGCTTCGGAAATTAGTACTTGATCAATGGAGATGCTTGTATAGCTATATAAGATTTTTTTTTTTGGAAGCAAGTCTTGAAAATTATGCAAATGAGAAACAGATTCACCATTCAAATGCCAACCATCTGGTCAATACAACATCCCAATCGAGCCACAGAACCGCAACGTGACTGGAAAGTTCACAACATGAGCGCGTAAGCTTATGCATCTATAATCACCTCATTCCAACAATAGCGAAATCAAAATCAAGCATTTTTTTTATTCTGGATCACCATCATCATGAAAATTTAAATGGTTGGTATCTTTGATTCTCAAATAAAATTTTGAAGTTTAAAAAGGGATAGAAAAAAGAAAAAAACACTCAAATAATAATGATGCATATCTCATATCTTCCGGAAGAAAATCAAATTTGCAGGCGTTCGAAAACCGCTAGATGAATTGTATTTTCAATGGAAACCCAGGTTCATCTTTCCCTGAGTTCAATTAAATTCCTTTCTTGAACTCGAAATGTTTTGTGGCAAACCATTCTAGGTCAAAATTTCAAGCCGTTCTCATTTTTAATTTGGGGCTATGTTTTAGAAAACCGGCTCCGGAAAACAAACCAAGAACATATGCCAATTTTTGTTATGTATGCCTTCATGAGTTCACTTGCCCAAGTGAAGCCCAAACTCAAAAATTCTCCGTCAATTTTTAAACCCTTCAATTTGACTAACGCATGTTCAACTGCGTCGAGTTTTAACTCAGGCCACGCCATTAAAATTTTTTTTGCAAGATTTACTAGGTAAAACCGTATCCCATCATAATAAGATCCACGCCCCCTTTTCACTGGAGAAGTTTGCAATTCCAGAATTCAACATTTAAACATTACTAATTGGTAGTCAAAATAAATGAGAATTAATTTGTATGCGACAGGTTATGTTTCGTAATTCATCTGTCATACGTGATACAAGGATGATGTATACAAGACATTTCAGACAATTTTTGCAGGACAAGTTTGCACTCATGAGTCAAGAGTCTCAAGACAAACCCAAGACAGACACACAACTTTTTGGACTAGATTGAGTTGGAGGTGGGGGGGGGAAGGGTACTATAGTGAATATGGCATGTTTTCTCTCACCTTCGTCATCGTCATCAACATCGTCGATATCCTCATCATCGTCACTGGCGCACGTTCCTCTCGACACGGCTCCGCCACGGTCAGTCCCCAGGATGTCGTTGATAGAAAACTTGATGTGATGGGCCGCCGAGTTACTGTTGTTGTGCGGGTGGTGGTGGGGGTGGGGGTGGTGGTGGTGGTGGTGGAGGTGGTTGTGGTGGGCGTCGGGGGCGGGACTCGGGTTGTCCTTGGCGCTGCGCGAATAGCCGCCAACGGGCCTCACCGCCACCACCACGTCCTCCACCACCGGCGTCGCGCCGGAGTCCATAACGTCACCACTCTGCGTCATTTCCGCCACTTTGGCTGTTGAAATAATTCGCGCAGGTTTTGCGTCGACGACTTTCTCCCCCCCAAAACTTCTCCCTTCTTGGAGGGTTTCTTGGATAATTCCTTTTACCTTTTGTATTTCTGCGAGTGCAGATTTTTTTTTTTTTTTTCGTTTCTCAACACTCACGGTTTCTATACCGAACGTTTCATGAACTCTTGCATCCGCGGAAATCCTGCACCACAAAAAAGAACGGAATTAATCAGAATCGGTTTTGCTTCGATCGATATTGAATGAGTGTAAAGCCGACACATTTCCCACTTGAATCGATTTATGATATAATTTAGTCGAGTAGAATCTCGCTATGTCGTTTTCTCCCTTCCAATGATAAGGTTTTATGGATCTTCGCAATATGGACTCGAACTTTCTCGAGTCTAAAACGACTTTCATTTTCTCAAATTTTCAGGTCCCATTGTCTTATTTGTCGTTAGAAGTACTGTAAGATGCGGTTTTTATCATATGAAGTTTTTTTTTCGCTGTATCGGATCAATTCATCTTTCGAAATCTTGAATCCTTAGATTAATTTACTCCGCTTCGTAAAGTCACTCATTTCGGATGGAGCAAACAAAATATATTTTGAAATATTACGCAGTAAAAAAAGAACCAAGATTTTTTCAGAATTGCTCTAGAAAAACATACGATAAATCACGAATCATAAGAAGAATTACTTTTATTGCGTGCTATCTTTCAATCGAGATCTCCGACCGTCACATAACCTTTCGAAAGAGAAACACAATTGAAAGAGCATTGCATTTTTGACACCATTAAAATGTGAAAGGATCACGGGCAACAACTACCCTAATAGATAGGAAACTGTCATGGATATACTGTATACGCACAAAGACGCATCACCATGCGATGGAAATTCAAAAAAAATTGAACACGTCATTAAGTCAAAATTTGTTTCAATAATTTCACACGCATTGAAAGAATATCTCAAATCTGCGAGTTCTGTCCTAATAAAATGACTTGTACACTCGTCAAAAGAATTGAATTCTCTTTTCATTTCGCGATGCACTTCCCGCGCGTTGAAGGCGCACAGGCGCACTGACGGTCAAACGAGAAATGCGAGCCAACAACTCGATCGTCCTGACGCTGCTGCTCCCTCCCATTTCTCCGCCGGTGGGGAGGGGGAGGCCACACTCCACCCACTAAGACCGCGCCTACGAAGGTACTGCACATACTCCTGGGCGGGGCGCGAGGGCTTGCCGAGCTTTTTCGAGTACAATGGGCGTGGCTAGATGGGCAGTGGGGTCGAGCTTACAGCCGCCAACCCCACCCCAGGATGAAGGGGGTTTGGAATGGGGAAAAAAGCTCGGCGATTGTCGCGTGATCGAGCCCATCCGTTGAATCGAATTACGGGATCAAGGCCAAGAATGATTTTCACTGCAGGGGGGTACTTGTTGTCATCCCAGCGATACTCGGGTTAATAGTCTTCAGCAATCATTAGTCCCGCCTTCTGTTCAAGGAATCATCCCCCCCCCCCCCCTGGATGTGATGTTATGCGTAATTGGCGTTTTATCACACTTACTGAGAGTGTTTCAGCGTCATTTGCAAGCCTTGAACGAGACAGAAACAGCAGTGTCGCAACTTATCACAAGACGAGAGGAAAATTCGCTGAGATCAGCGCACTAACTCCAGATCAACACGAATGGTTCTTCCAAACTTTGCTGAATCCGAGAAATTACCATTGATCAATTTTCGTATGTTCTTTTGCCTAACCTCAAAATTTTATCTTGCATATAGTTGAACCTTTTGAAGTTGAATTCCAATGGGCTACGGAAACGTTTGACTCAAAGAATGAATGGCTTGATTCGAGTAGGTTAATCAATTAAAATTGTTTCCTGGCATTATTATATCAGAATTCATCGTTATAGATGTCCTACCTGCACAATGTTGCCTAATAAAATTTTTTAAAAATTCACAGGGCGTATCTTGGTCCTCCCAGACCAATTTTCAGCCCGTTGACAGTAAAGCAACAATAATATATCAAGAATAGCTCAAGATCAAATTTATTTCAATTTTTTCCTAAAGACCACGAAGTATCGCACAAACTATTTTTGAAAGTTCCAAAAACCAACATCTGTTTCTCTGAATTTTACCGACAAGACCAAAAATGCTGGGGTTCAATCTTTCCAAATCCGAAGACTCCATCATAGGATTGGAAACAACAAAAGCAGGCGAGTTTTCCCCACCCACCCAAGTAACACAATTATATGCCCTGATTTAATAATGTATTTTCTTTCATGCTGAGAAATAAATGGAGACAATAAACAAATTATGGTGGTCCTCTTGTCCTGCACATAAGTGACGGTTTTCAGCACTTGAAGGTCTCCTGAAGGCGAGTGTTGTTCCTGCTCCAGCAATACTTGATGGTGTGGCGCCGAGGACGAACTTTGGTGGAGCTGGTGAAAGGGTAGGAGCCCTTACCCACGCTGGAGGACACCACCAATGACTCCAACGGTGTGGGTTCTCGCGGTGGTCTCGGATTAGTTCTTGGACATGGTGCAGTTTGTCCACTGTGAAGAAGTTATGAAAATGAAAAGGAAGACATTTGAAGAAATGAACTTGAACTGCCCTTCAGGATGAGATATGTGAGGGTTTCAACAGTGGATGTAAATTGAACTCAAGAAAAGGTGGAACCTCTGGATCTAACCACAGATTTTGAAATTAATGAGCTGTTTCCAAAATTTGATGAATCCCTCGAGTAATTTTATTTTTTGGAGTCATTTGCTTGCCTCAGGAGTCAGGACAACAAATTCAGGCTCCCTGGAGATTTTTCAGCATATACAGGTGAACCTTAATAAGTCAAACCTCCCAAAGTCAAATTTTTTCAAGTCCCTGTCTGAATTCCCTTAGAATCAATACATTAAAAACCTCCCTGACTTGAAGTCTTTTTCTATAAAACCTCTAATTCAAATTTTTGGAGGCCTTCTGGTTATTATTTCCTTGAAATGTGAAAGAAAATATGATTAAAACAAATAATTTATGCATTTTGAATGAAGTGAAAGGCAAATATAGCAAATGAACCTCTGCCTCCAAGTTCAGCAAGGTTTAAACTCATTAAGGAGCAAGTTTAGGCCCAGAAAATCTGGTACTTTCCTGTTATCTCAGTAGACCTACTTTCTGTGGACCTACCAGAAACTGTGAATTTCATTTTTCCGCATTCTGCTGAAACTGATTTTGTGAGGTGGTTAGGTAAAGTTAGGTTAGGTCAGGTTATGTTAGTAACAAATATCTTTCAATTAACATAACCTGACCTAACCTAAACTACCAAATACTAAATTCACGAGACGAAGAAAAATGGGCACCAGGAAAGTACCAAAAATTCTCATTTATGATTTCCCACACTTTTTTGCTTCTGATCACAACAAATGTGTTATTTTCTTGACTGAAAAGCTCCAAAAATCAGAACCTCTTTAAGTAAAATCCTCCCTAAGTCAACATTTTTTCATGGTCCCTAGAAATTTGAATTACAGAGGTTCAAGTGTACCATTTAACACTTATCACAATTTAATCACATTTCTTCTTCAACCCTTTGAAAGGATCATCTATCTCATCCAGGAAATATTTTTTCATGGTCCCTAGAAATTTGAATTACAGAGGTTCAAGTGTACCATTTAACACTTATCACAATTTAATCACATTTCTTCTTCAACCCTTTGAAAGGATCATCTCATCATACCTTGTGCTCAGTCTAGGATTAGCACTGGGTCCAGATGAAGGTGTGCAGCAAGAGTCAGGACAAAACAGTTTGGTGAAGAAGGAGCACAGCAGGGATGGTGGATCATCCATGGGACCACAGTACTCTTTGTAGAGCTTTCCCTGCTCATGCGACAACTTCACCAGGTCCTTCATGTCAGCCACAGAGGGTTCCCTGCGACACTCAACCACCTTCCTGCAGAAATACGGGTTCCCTGCCACTTCTCCCCAATGGTGTGTCCTGCGGGCATGCAACTTTGGCCGCGCAGAGAACCTGAAAAAAAGTTTCAGAATTCCAATTGGACACACAGTAATTTAGTATCTGTGGGCAGATGCAAATTTTAACTGGGAGGCGTGTGCTAGGATTGATTATTCCATGCCCTTATAGGTACTGTAATACCACGCATGAATAGTATGGGTATATTTATTTAAAAAAAAAAGGAAGTGTTGGGGTCATCAACAATTTGCTGGTTGGGATATTTACTTTAAAATGTAATGTTAAAAAATACAGTCATCTTCTATAGGAAGGGAAAAAACACAACAAGAATACGAAGAGCCCCCAAGTATACTTGAACAATTTTGAGTGAATTTCCTCGTGCCGCGTTTGATCTAAAATATTATATCAATAAAAACCTAATTCTTATATGGGTCTTCGCAGAAATATAACAAAATAATCCACTTTCATTTTCGACTGCAAAATTTTAAAAAATCAGTCACGTGTTCGATGCACATTAGTTTATAGTTGCCAAAATCGCAAATTCAGGAAAATATAGTGTTCATTATAAGGCTCGGATAAATTAATCTTGTCCTGAATGTTTTCTTTTTTCGAATTTTTTCATATCTTTGAAGCTGCTGCGGACTGAAGAAGAAAACTGCAGGATTACTGACAAAGTTGAAATTGGGATTCAAAACAATTTTACAGCACTTTTGTGTGGCTAAAATGACATGTTTTTAATTTGTTACAGAATTATTGAAAAAAGGCGTACGTGGCAGTTCAATCAATATGAGTATATTGCAATAGATTTCTAAAGGTTACTGATTTTGTGTAACGTGCGAAATTGTATTACAGAATTTTGCTGCTGATCATCATTGCCGATGCAAAATTATGTAAGTCTCTACGTTTCCTGGAGTAGATTCAGCATAAATTCCAACTTTCAGTAACAATTTTGTCCGTCTAAATTTCTGAAAATCATTTCAACAACGAATTTCTCGTGATAAAGAACGGATTATTTTATTGAAAAAATTTCCGCGGGTTGAGTTTGCTTTAAAAATATCCACACAAAAAAAACGAAATTCTGCAGGCGCCGTATCCTGGAAATTGAACGCAATACTCCCCTGCCCCGTATACAATTTTAAAAGTTCATCGACAGATTATGAAAAGCATATATAGTAAAAAAAAAACTTTTTGACATGGAATGAAACTCACGCATGCTCTGTGCGGTTGTCCTGGTCATAGTTCTGCACCCGCTTGGCAGGTCGGGGCGGCTTAGACAACCCCAATTCGCTGCAAGGCGCCCAATCCAACAGTCCCTGGTCGTCTTCCATTATTAGAGACGGGGACTTGGCCACCTTCAGGGCCTTGTCCACAGACCTCACGTCACTGACGCGGTCTTGCACCAAACGCTGGCACGCGATGTCGGCGGCCGAGCGAGTCGACGGCATGCCGGTGCAACCGGCGCCGCGGGCGCCGATTCCCTCGACGCCGCCACAATCGTCCTCGTAAAGGGCGTCCTGCTCGTTGCCTCGCTTCCAACGCACCCGTTCCATGAGGACGCCGCGGGATCGCAGCCGCCGCAAACGATCTCTGCAAAAAGGAAAAGAAAAAAACACAGAAAAAAATATTCTTTAAAAATATTGTCTCAAGGAATTGAAAATATCTCATGGGAGTGAACTTGGAATCTCTGAATCAGATGACTGAATAGTAGTCGAGGATTATTTTGTGATACACAGTAGAATCTTGTTACAACAAACTCGTGGGGACTTCAGAAAAAGTTCGTTAAAACAGACTAATTGTTATATTGTGATTTTAAAAATGTTTGACCGATGGGAAGATTTTCTTAAAATTAGACCTGCATACTTTCAGCATATTCCTTTTGCAGCTTTTTCAGATATTTCTCAGCATTTAAAAAAAACTGATATTTTCAAAAAGAAATTTATATTTTGCAGTAATAACAAGCGATCAATCTGAATATCAGGTGTACACTTGCACTTTTTGTTGAGTAGGGTTTTTTAAGCAATTTCTGAACAGATTAGTAAGCGGGTGGATTTTCTAAAAAAAAAGCTTACAATTTTCAAGCATCAGTATTGTTTCTCAAGCCCTTTTAACGTGAGTTTTGATGGGTTCATTTTTTCATTCATTAGAGATTTTTCATCAAGAAATCACAACATGTTCACAAAAAAGTTTGTTACAGTATATGTAATTGGTGTTTGTTATAACAAGAACAAGTCCCAGCAGAAATCATATGGCGTACATGTTATAAAACATGTACGTCATAGGATTTCTGCTGGGACTTTGAAAAAAAAAATTAATACTGCAAAATTTGTTATAATAGCTGTGTTGTAACAAAATGTTCCTGTATTTAAATTATTCAAACAAATTCCGTCATGTATGGGCAATGGAAATTCTGACGAATTCGCCAGTAATTAATACTTGAGGTAAACGGAGTACAACTCTCAACACATACAAAAATATTTGTCGAAAAAATGTAAAATAGGAAAAAGGATGAAAGGAAAATAAATAGGCAAAAAAAACAAATTGTTACTTTTATTAAAAAAAAATAAATATGTCAACAATAAAATCTTTTTTTTTTTTTGTGTAATCAAGTAATTCTAACTCACTTGGGATCAACAGGTACCACCCCATCTGCAGTTTTAAGTTCAAGCCACATCTGCTCCTCCCTTTCGTCCAGCAGCCTCTTCAATTCGCATGGATCCATTCCTGGGTTTTCCTCCATCAACCTTCGACGTTCAATTTCAATTTTCATGAGGAACAATTCAAGTTGACTCAGTCCACTGCCTTCCTCGGAAGCCTTCGGAGGTTGATCATCCATTGCTGATACTGGTCTCATAATCCATGGCAAAGCCAGAGTTTGTAGCGAGAAGTCTTCGTCGCCTTTGTAGCGATAAGAAGTGATGAATTAATTAGAATTTCTTCATGCCGCTATACAAGGCATCAAATGCAAAATCAAAAATTCAGGCATGAATGCCTTAGAATTGAAATTGGAAATCAAGTCGAAGTGCTTATATTTTAATCAAAATCGGACTTCTTGCAGTCACGTTTCACTCCCAAAAATTCTGAATTGGACATCCAGAGGACAAGTCAAACTAGAATTAGGCATTAAATCCATTTTAAATTGAATATTGCGTGAACATTATCAGTATATATGTAAATCGCAGCTATTAAGTTCGATGGTCCAACTTGTATGGATGGGTAACATTATCTTTTAAAATATCAATTGATTTTCATTAATAGGTCATGTCCATGTCAGTATATCCTGCGATGAAAAGCCGGAGACTGAAGATTTTACATTCAATACGTTTAGACCACATTGCTTCCGTAAGTCGCTATGAGTTGTTCACGTTAATTTAAAATACGTGATGTAATTTATTTTTCTATAAAATCGACGTTCCGAAAAATAGTCCAACATTTTGGACTTCAGTTGCAAGCTTTAGGTTGGGCTTGCCGAAATTACGGAGTCAATTTCGGAAAACAATGTGGCTAAAATTAATTAACCTAACGATTTATTAAGGGTCCATGGATCATTTACCAAATTTACGTTGGCTGAAAACATCTTTCTTCATTAATCGCAGATTTCTCCTTTATCTTCAGTTCCTTCTTTTTACGGTACGTTTTCTTTTGGTCGATTCAGTAAATTAGGGCTAAATTTTACTCAGCATTAATTTAAAAAAATGAATAATGTTTGAAAAATAAATTCAATACCCGTGAGCTCGGCAAAAATGTCTTGCACATTGGCCAAATTATCCTCGGGACAAATGTAAGGCGAGAACACGGACAACGGCACACGGAGCGGCATCAACAGGCGACACGCATTCAACCGCCGCTGCAACTCCGCCTCGCCAACGGGCTCGTCGCCGGCGCCGATTCTGGGCTCGGCGTCACATGGCGGACATGTCCCAAACTCGTGACTGTCCAGCAGGTCCCACATGTGACGACGCCGTGACACGTCGACGTCATTGCGACCCAGGTAACCCTCGGCAAAAAGGGATATGTACGAGTCCAGTTCATCCTTGCGTTGCACAGAGGAGACGACATTGAGTTGCTTGAGCACGGCTGAGCCGCCGCGGCCGCCGCCGCCACCGCCATCGCCGCCCCAGAAGCATTCAGTAGCCATCCTAGTATCTCAGGCACATTTGGTGGGGTATACTTATAGGCTTGAACTGATTGAGTATGCAGGGTATGTGTTACGGAATAAACCGTAAATAGTGATAAGAAGGGAGAGTAAAACCTTCTGTAGTTCCTTGTAGAACCACTTTTTCACGTGGAGGATGCCTGTATTTTTCAATGATCGTCATCCGAAAAATTGAAATGTTGCTATATTTTTAGAAATAAAACCCTCTGAAAGAAACGGAGTTTTGTGATGAAGGCGTGTACCCTCGTTGATCCAGAATAAATAGAATGAGACATGTTTAAAAAAACATGCTAGGTGTCGCTCACACCCTGCAGCTGAGTCGATGAAACGGGAAACACGTTGTACTGTCCCAAATAATTTCCCCATAACGCTAATATTATTGGAGCTTATTTTTCCGATGTGAAACCACGTTTATTTTTGTTCAGCGCGCAGAAATGTTGACACTCATTTTTTTTTTTCATGTTCAAAACACGCGGTGGACCGAAAAACGATTTGCCTGCGAATCTAAAACACAAAGCCTCTCTTTCTACAGTACTGCATCACATTCTCACAAAATCACACAGCCAGGGGAATGTTTTGATTCCTGTCATCTTTTATAGTTGCATGTGTTGATCCGTTGAAGAATATTCGCCGTTCATGTCATGGTTCGGTACCGGAAGATGTCGCCTGCAGCAGCACTCAGACTCTCGGTGGAGCCGTGAGGATTTAGCGCCACATTCCTGGCGCGTGATGCGGGGTCTCCAGTGGTTGAGTTGACCAGATTGGCATGACGCCATCTGGCCATCAGAAATGACAAAAAACCAAAGCCAAGGCCTAGATCGAATGTGTCTTTTCTTCACTGCAATAATCGGACCGAAGGCTGGGATGTTATCGTTGTTTTTGTGTTGTCGTATTATTGTGTGGTTTTCATCGCGTTGTGGCGTTCTTTCATTCCTGTGGGGTCTTTGTGTCACGAACTGTCCATCTTCTTTCCCTGTTTTTCCTCTCATCGTGAGAGAAATACTTCATGTTTTGGATCGCCACGAATCATTCTTACTCCAGTTGAGACAAAAGCGAGCCAGGATATTTTTTGCAAATTTTAGTGCCAAAAAGCACGAAAAATATTAATTGATTAACCTTCAGCCCAAGTTCAAGAAAAGGTCGACCTTTTTCATTTGAGCATAAAATTTTTGATCAAAATAGGAAAACATTTCTTCACTCGATGGAACTTTTATCTGCATTATTTCTGCAATTCCGCAGCAAAATGAAAAAAATGACCAGTTAGGTGAGAGATGCGAGTAATAAGTAAGGAAGCACCTTAATTACAACATTATTTAGAAGTTTATTTCAATTAATTGTATAGAAAAATGAATTAGTTGAAGCATGCGAAGGAACATAATTTTTAATTAAACTTGTGGATTTTGAATGGATTTTTTATTCTAATCCGACTCCTTTAAATACTTTTCTTTAAGATGAAACCTCGTTGATTCGAGTCGCGTGTCACTGTATTAAGTGTAATTAAGACTCCCGGAGTTTGAAAGTTTTTCTTTTTGTGCAAGAAACGTTCGTCATATATTTGGATTTTGATTTATTTGTATATCTCTTTCTGCTTCACTCGACAGAATCTCGAATGTCGATGTTTTCGACATTCCTGGATGAGCTCGAATTCATAAATTCAGTCGAAGCTTATCCGCTCCAGAATCGCGCATCACGCGGACGGAACATTTTGATCCATTCGGTCGAATTTCCGAAAACAGGAAGAAGAGAAAAGATGCTCGGGATTTCTCGCAAACCTGCTAAGATTTTTTTTTCTTACCTATATCGAATGAAACATTCTTGCCTCGTGAAAAGTGCTGAGACAATACAATTGAAACGAAATTCCGAGTGTCGCAATAGCGAATGCCTGTCGCGAATAACATCCGAATCGTGACACTTTCGATTTTACTGGTTTGATTCTCGCAGATCACGTTTAACAAGTTGATGAAAATTTTCTGCATTGTTCCCGGAATCCATTATTTGAACATACTTGTAGGTACATGTTTTTGGTGAAACATGACAAAATCTGGTACTTAATTATTCACTCGGAATACGGAAGTGGTCAGTTTCAACTTTTCGAGTCAAGTGGTCAGTTCACTGACGGTTTTTTTTTTTTTTACTTTTTCGGACGGAACTGGAAACATCCGAATGGATTTGTGCAAAGTTGCATTCTAACTTTTATATGAAGATCATCGATCTTAATTTTCTTGATATTCTTTTAATCAGAAAAAATTGGAAGTTTCCTCAAGTTGAAACTTCCCCAAGCAGATTTTTTTTTACTTATTGCCCCTTGAAGATTGACTTGAAGAAGTGGGGTTAAAATAAAATTACATATTCTAGCTAGATATGGTGACAATAAGTCTTGTAATATCTTTTTTGTTTTGTTTTTTCATTAGCTGAACAGACAAGAAAGGTTTGATATTCTCCTCTTAACACATTTCGGAATTGAATAAAAATTCTCGAACACGCCGCATTCAGGGAAAGATCCGTGATTGGGAAATCGTTAACTGGAGGATCAATGCACCCGAAGTTGATAATCTTCAATGCTGCTACACGAAAACTTTTTTTTTTGTGTGTGGATGAATGAATGTTACTTTCATGTAATTTCAATAATCGATTTTTATTCGAATTTAATATTTTTACAATCTGAAAGACCCTTCAACTTTTCTTAGTCGAGTCTGAGTTTGCATAATGACGTTGACAAGGACAAACGATTTTAACAAGACGTCCGAGGACCACAAACCGTCCATTTGCAGACAGGTAACAGCATAAGTCGGGGGTTTGAAACTTTCATTGTAAAGCATTCAAATTTGATTTTTTTTTTCTCTCGAAGATTTGGGTGACAGCTCATGCTTGGTCCAACAGTATATTCATCGGCATCTACTTGGGGTTCGTATCGGTTGGGTTCGACGCCTTTTCGAAGGATTCAGAACAAGGAAATACCCCTTTTCTACTCTCAGATGGAATGACGGCTCAATATGGTGAGGCATGTTTTTGACTGAAAATCAATTTATTCATTTGAAAATTAATTTTTGGATTTCGATTTCCCGTCTTTTTCGAACTTGATCAAAATTTTCACCGCTCAAGTTTTGCCAAAGTCAATCAGCTTATATAAAGCTGATGTGAATTTCTGAATATATATCGTGCGAATAAATCAGATCGTATTTTTGTAGCTTTCTGCGGAAGTATTAATTTTTAAACACAGGAGTGCAAAAATGATCTGCGACTTCCTTTACCTTCAATTATCACAAAATTTCAATCGATTCAGACGGAAACAATGTGGGCTACAGCCGCTCTGTTTCTATCTGACTGAAAACAAATGCATGTGAAAATCCAAGCAAAATCAAGATCGAAATGATAAGCGTAGGAAAAAATTACCGAGTTTCAGAATCAAGAAAAATTTCGTTTCATGAGGCGTGAGTCTGAGCAAACAACTTCTTGGCTCACGTCGCAAAAGAAAACCATGAGGATATCTTGGAAATCAGATTTTCTTCGAGATCATGAGGAATCGATCTTCTTTTTATGTTGAAAAATTCCTTGAAAATTCGGTTTTAATCCTTAAATTTTTTTTTTAAACGTTGCAAAATCCCCGGACGAGAAGCTCTGAACTCTTGCTTGTCTTTTCAGTATATCATGAAAAGATAAAAATCCGCACCCATCCATCCAATAACAGCGAGTTTCTTCTTCTTTTCCGAGCAGCTAGTGTTTCCAATTTGGCAAGCATGGTGGCATGTTTTGCAGCTGGCCCAATCGCTGCTCGTTTCGGGCGCAAATGGCCCAGCCTGTTGGCAAACATCATTCTACCGATAGCCTGGCTCATGAATCTGCTGGCGACGAATTTCACACTTTTTCTAATTGGATCTGCCATCCACGGCTTTTTGACTGGATTCCGCTTGTCCCTGGGACGATTGTGCATCAGCGAGGTGTCGCATGTCGACTACAGAGGTCAGCTCTTGACGTCACTGGCGACTTTGGCGCTGGTTGGCATGCTGATGGAGTACCTCGCTGCCCTGGCATTCACGGGATGGCGAGGCCTGGTTCTGTTCAACCTGGTGGTGTGTGGTATACCGGTGGTGCTGTTGCCACTGCAGATCAGAGCACCAGAGTCATTCGTGTGGCTCATTTCCAGGGGCAGGTTGACGGAGGCGCGAAATGCTTTGCAGTGGAGCTACGGGGACAGGTTGGTTGTTTAATTAATTACAGTACTGCATCTTATGTTTTAAAATTTTCATTCGTTTCTATAAAGAAGCTGCATTCCCATTTTCACGCTATAGTAACATGCAAAATTATGGAATTTGCCTTGACAAGTAAATTAACAGATCATTTTTAAAATATTTACACCACAAACGATTTGTTTAAAAAAACTGTTTAGCACATTTTTGTTAAATTACTAGTCATCAGAGGTCCCAATCTGAAAGTGATCTTCAGAGCACTGATGAGTATGGAATGAATCCGCTATACGTACAGTATCTATGCAAGTACTGTACTCTACTATACTGTGCCACTTTTAATGTACCATGTACCCCAACGGACATGCAAATTTAACTTCTGGGTATAACCTTGAACTCGAAAAATCTGCTGCAATATTTGGACGATGTCTCAAACTATACAGACTCTTAGTGAGCATTTACAGATTATTTTTAAAATTGTGATATCTCTTGCATATAAAGTAAGTTACTGTCTTAAACAAAAATTGAAAATATATCTCATTCTAAATTTACTCCATCACCCTGAGCTTCTCTTTTCAGGTTTTTTCCCCCAACCAACTAAGCAAACTAAGGCAATCCGGGCCTGTTTTTTTCTTAAAATTACTGTACTTATTGAAGGAAAAAGAAAATTCTGTGTATTTTCGGCACAGTTCATTTTTTTGGACCTTACAGAATAACACTTATAAGAAATAATTTTGAAATCCTTTGGAGGACTTTATCCGATTTTATTCTCAAAATATGGCACGTAAGTCTACAGTAGGATACTGTATTGGAAGATGGGATCCGGAATCCGAACCGGATCCAAAAGCTATTCCAAAAGCTTTAGTCAAAATGCAAAAATTATTTATCATGCCATCTTCCTTGAGGGAAAATATTCAGGGTTGTCATTTTTTTTTTTTAGGTATGATTGCGAGTCAGTTTTTCAGGAGACGCTGAAACACCAGAACGAGACCAGCAAACTTTCAAATTAATTTTCAAGACAGAAGAGCCAAGTCTGCGTAGTTTTTCTTCTGTACAGCAGT